TCCTAATATGCCATTAGCCTTCTTGGCTACAAGGGCACACTGTTGACTCATATCCAGCTTTTCATCCACTGTCATCCCCAGGTCCTTTTCCACAGAACTGCTACTTAACCAGTCGGTCCCCAGCCTGTAACAATGCTTGGGATTCTTCCATCCCAAGTGCAGGACTCTGCACTTGTCCTTGTTGAACCTCATCACATTTCTTTTGGCCCAATCCTCTAATCTGTCTAGGTCACTCTGGACCCCTATCCCTGCCCTCCAGCATATCTACCTCTCCCCCTAGCTTAGTGTTATCTGCAAACTTGCTGATGGGTGCAATCCATCCCCTCATCCAGGTCATTAATAAAAATGTCAAACAAAACCGGTACTAGAACAGATCCTTGGGGCACTCCACTAGAAACCAACTGCCAACCTGACATTGAGCCATTGATCACTACCCGTTGGGCCCAACAGTCTAGCCAGCTTTCTATCCATCTTACAGTCCATTTAGCCAATCCATACTCCCTTAACTTGCTGGCAAGAATTCTGTGGAGACCATATCAAAAGCCTTGCTAAAGTCAAGGTATATCACATCCACTGACTTTCCCATATCCACAGAGCCAGTTACCTCATCATAGAAGCTAATCAGATTGGTCAGGCATGACTTGCTCTTCATGAATCCATGTTGACTATTCCTGATCACTTTCCCCTCTTCCAAGTACCTCAAAATGGATTCATTTTTCCAGGGACTGAGGTAAGGCTGACTGGTCTCTAGTTCCCTGGATTGTCCTTCTTCCCTTTTTTAAAGATGGGCACTACATTTGCCTTTTTCTAATCATCCAGGAACTCTCCCAATCTCCACAAGTTTTTAAAGAATGGCCAAAGGCTCCGCAATGACATTTGCCAACTCCCTCAGTTCTCTTGGATGCGTTAAATCTGGACCCATGGATTTGTGTATGTCTAGCTTTTCCAAATAGTTCCTAACTTGTTCTTTCCCCACCATGGGCTGTCCACCTCCTTCCTCTACTGCATTGTCTAGTGCATTAGTCTGGGAACTGACCTTGTCGGTGAAGACCGAGGCAAAGAAAGAATAGAGTACTTCAGCTTTTCCCATATCATCTGTCACTAGGTTACCTCCTTCATCCAGTAGGGGCCCCACACTCTCTCTCTCTGATCACCCTCTTCTTGCTAACAACTATAGAAACCCTTTTTGTTACCCTTCACATCCCTTGCTAGCTGCAATTCCAATTGCACTTTCGCCTTCCTGAAAACTCCCCTGCATTCTCGAGCAATATATCTATACTTCTCCCTAGTCATCTGTTCAATTTTTCACTTCTTGTAAGCTTCCTTTTTGTGTTTAAGCTCACCAAGGATTTCCCCGGTAAGCCAATCTGGTCGCCTATCGTATTTGCTTTTCTTGCTGTGCATTGGGATTGTTTTTTCCTGTGCCTCCAATAAGGCTTCTTTAAAATACTGCCAGCTCTCCTAGACTCCTTTATTTAAGCATTCCAGGGAATCCTGCCCATCAGTTCTCTGAGGGAGTCAAAGTCTGCTTTTCTGAAGTCCAGGGTGTGTATTTTTCCACTCTCCTTTCTTCCTTTGGTCAGGATCCTGAAATCTCTCTCATGATCACTGCTTCCCAGGTTGTCACCCACCCCTACTCCCTGTACTAGTTCCTCCCTCTTTGTGAGCAGCAGGTCAAGTTGCACATAGCCCCAGTCAGTTCCTTCAGCACTTGTACAAAGACGTTATCCCCAACGTTTTCCAAAAACTTCCTGGATTGTCTGTGTACTTCTGTATTGGTCTCCCAACAGATGTCAGGATGATTAAAGTCCCCCATGAGAACCAGGGCCTGTGATCTGGAAGCTTCTCTCAGTTGTCTGAAAAAGCCTCGTCTACCTTAACCACCGGTGGTCCCTAGCAGACACCAACCACAACATCACCCCTGTTGCTTCCACCTCTAAACTTAATCCATAGACTCTCAACAGGCTTTTCTCCCTCTATATCCTGGAGCTCTGAGCAATCATACTGCTCTCTTACATACAGTTCAAATCCTCCTCTTTTTCTCCCCCACCTGTTCTTCCTAACAGTTTATACCCTTCCATGACAGTGCTCCAGGCATGCGAGTCATCCCACCAAGTCTCTGTTATTTCAATCAAATCATAGTTCTTTGACTGGACATTTTTTTTCTAATTCTTCCTGTTTCCCCATCTTCTTGCATTTGTGTACAAACACTTTAGATAACCAGTTGATCACCCTACCTTCTCCATTTGAGTCAGGGGTCCTCCTTTGTTGCTCATTTCTCCTTGAGTTTCTTCCCAGTATCCAACTTCCTCACTTACCTCAGGGCTTTGGTCACCGTCCCCCGACGAATCTAGTTTAAAGCCCTCCTAACTAGGATTGCAAGCCTGCCTACGAAGATGCTCTTTCCTAGCTTGATTAGGTGGATCCCATCTCTTCCTAACAATTCTTGTGCCCAGAACAGAGTCCCATGGTCTGAGAAACCAAAGCCCTCTCTTCAACACCACCTGCACAACCATGCATTTACTTCTTCAATTCGACGATCCCTACCCAGACCGTCTCCTTCAACTGGAAGGATGGACGAGAACACCACTTGCGATTCAAATTTCTTGATCCTTCTTCCTAGCGCTACATAACCCGCAGTGACCCACTCAAGGTCATTCTTGGCCGTATTGTTAGTTCCTACCTGGAAAAGCAGGAAGGGGTAGCAATCCGAAGGTTTGATCAGTTTTGGAAGACTCTCGGTCACATCCTGGATGCGAGGTCCTGGTAAGCAGCATACTTTGAGATTGCAGGTCTGAACGGCAGATGGATGACTCTGTCCCTCTTAGGAGGGAGTCCCTGACCTCCCCCCCTTCTTCGTTTAGGGGTGGTGGTCATGGAACCCCCATCCCTAGGACTATGCATCCCATGCCTTCTGGTAGATGGTGTTCCCTTCTGATTTCTTCCCTGAGAGGTCCCCGCCAAAGCATTTTCCACCACAGTGTCTGTGGAGAAAGCCTGAAAGCAGTTACTTACCTCTACAGAAATGGGGGATACCTGAGTTGGCCGCCTTCTTCTTCTAGTGGTTACATGCTACCAGTTCTCTTCCTTGTCTTATACTGCCCTCACTGGCTTTTCAGCCTGCTGTGCCTGCAGGATTAAACGCTGCCTTCTATCGAGGAAGTCTTCATGCTCTCTGATAGAACGTAGGGTTGATACTTGGGCCTTAAGTCCTCTAATTTTTTCTTACAAAATGCCAACCAGCTTGCACTTAGTGCAGATGAAATCCCTTCTTTCTTCCAGGAGGAAGACAAACATGGCACATGCAGTGCAGGTAATAACAGCAGACCTATCACCATCCATACATGCCTTTCTTCTGAGAGATTCTTTAGATGTTTTAGATGCCTCCTTGAAGGGCAGGAGAGAGAAAAGGAAAAAAAAATTCTTCAAGAAAAAGAGCACTATACACTACAGGAGTTTCCCAGGGTAAATTTCCAAGCAAACTCCCATGCTGGCTGCTGCCCTGCTCTGGCTGCCTTGTTTAGAAGGTGGAGACTAGACCCAGCTCAAAGACTTGCCTCTGATGCAATCAACCTCTGAAGGCCCACCAGAGCTCAGGAAGCTTTGATAATAGTTTAGTGAAAGATTTTAAAGAATGGCAAGTGTATTGTGTCCCCTTCCCACACCCTCTCAAAGCTCCCCGTTATCAGCCCCTGGTTGCTGACTCTTTACTATATAAAGCCCTGGACTGTTTGATAATCAGTGGGAGGGGCTAAGGATCAACCAATGAGCAGAGGCTTCTAGTTTTCAAACCTTGATTAGAAACTCACAGCTTCCACCTGCCAAACCACAGCACGCACTCCGGGGGGGGTGGGGTGGGGGGGGATCCCCAAACCCCAGACAGACAAACACAAGCTCAGCACACAGCAAGAAATCCCCAAACACAAACACACACTACAGACAGCCACTTCCCTCAAGGGTCCTGTATTAGCTCCTTCTCCACCTGGAAAAGTCCCTTTCAAAACTCCGTTATCAGTCCCTGTTCGCAAGCTCCCAGGTCACTGACTCAGACGGGATGGAGGAAAGAATGAAGTTTTTTTTTTTTGGCCAATAGACAAAATAGATAGAAAAAGAAAAAGAAAGAAAAAGAAAAAGCTTTAAAAAGTGCTAAAGATTAACCTCTTTACAATTGCTAATCATCCAGTAACAAATAGTCAGGGGCTATTGAAAAAGAACTAAGGAGAGTTTATCTGCACAACACCGGTTAGCCTTATGGCAGAACACAAGGGGATAGCACATGTGCGAGCTGAATAGACACTGCTACGAAAGTTCTCTGATCAGCAGTGCAAGGACAGATACATCTCTTAGAATAGAAAACCCAAAGGGACATTACTTGAAGCAGCAGCAGAAAATATTGTATTGCATTGTACATCACTTTATAACAACTGGGTTTTTTGTTTAGCGTTCTTAAGGAATTTTTAAACTTTAAGTAATCCCACATACATAGTAGATTCCAGAAACTAAAAAATAATCGGAAAATGCATTCTTTCTTTAGAATTTTTATGTCCTACTACACACAGCTCTTGAGTAATTCACTTTAAATTTTTCAGACTAAGAGGGGTAGATATATAAAAATCTACAATATACTTAGACTAATTTTCAAGGGTAGATCACACTTTAGTTTGTGGCTCAATAATAAAGAATTTGCAATGCCAATCAACTAGAGTATCTTACTGTATAAAATAATATTCCTTCCTAGTTTTTGCATGGAGACTTTCTATAATTGTTACTCCTCATAGCAAGCATTTGCTAGATTAATTAAAACACGAGTAGCCCTGTGGCACCTGAGAAACTAACAAAAGTCTCTAAGTTGCCACAGGACTACTCATTTTTATGTTACAGACTAACATGGCTACCCCTCTGAGATGGTATAATTATTCTTATAATTAATATATGATCCAATAGTTAACTACTGTAATATATAAAAACATCTAAATAGAGAGAAGCAAGGGACATCTTACCTGATTCCTGTCACGTGCATTTGTGTACCTGATCTTCTGGATGAAGTAAAATATTAACCACGCTGAAGAAATTATCATCAAAACGATGAATGATATTGACACAAAGACTAGAGAGCCACGACTAATATTCTTCGGAGGAACACGAGCTCCAACTGCTATTGCCATCAGGACAGAGATGTTCTTTTCCAAGTAATTTAGGATCTCCTTTACCTTGGATTCTGTAATCATGACAGCAACAATGTCTCCAGTTCCTAGAAAAAAAGACAGATAAAAGTCCACTCACTTTACAGCCAAAGATATCACAGCACACTGTTCATGCCAAAGGACTTAAAGGATTCATCTTGTGCTCCGGAACACCTTGTGGCTGTTTAGCAACTTATAGCTTGTACTGCAGAGAGCTCTGAATAGCGATGTTAAGTTTCCAGTGTGCTACCATGTCTTTGAATGTTACAAATTTATAGATTGCCATGGGTGCTGTTTTTTGAAAGTGTATGTGTATTGAAATACGTAAAAGATGAATTTCTTCTCTATGCATGATATCCTGCAAACTTCAGCCACCAGATTCAAGCAGATATTTTCCTGGAACTTAAATACTATTCACAGAAGTCCCATTAGACAATTTCACTTCTACAGGAAAATGGCTTTTATTAGGGCTTTTGTTTTTGTTTTTTTAAAACAGAACTTCATAGGTAACATCTATGCAAAGTACAATGTGTTTCTCTTAGGAAGCCAAGTAATTAAAGGAGGAAAAGTCACTCTCAATTCTCCCTAGCAGGAGGCACCACAATGTTATTAAGTGTGGCAGAGATCTTTTTGGGAGGGGAGGGCAGGGAAGGGAAGAATATAAAATACCTGAAGAGGCAGGGAAGCAGGAGAGATGCCTAAGAAGTACATGCAATTAAAAACCATGTTGTAGCCCTATAAAATGTAAGTAACAGAGAATGCAGTAAACTCCTCCTGCAGTGTCAATGAATCAGATAATGTGTTTGAAGTTGGCAAGCTCCCAGCTCAAAAGAGCAACATTCCCCCCAAAAAACTAATCTAGATATGTTGATCTGTTACTTCCTGTAAAAAAAGACTTTAGTAGACCACTGTAGTTATCAAAAGACAAAAGTCAGAAAGTCTAGAAATTTAAATTCAAGGTCATACTTAATCCAAAACAGTCTATTTTCATATTTTGTAACTGAAGTTACTCAGACAACCACAATTCTGCCCAGGTATCTCTATTTACAGAGGAACCAAAACTAAGAAATAATTCTATCCAAGCAACTGAAAAATGCTACCCCAGTTGCTAATATGCAAGTTCTGCCTCATAACTACTAATGAAAATATTGGCTCCAATGGTTTCCCTGAAAAACCCATTACTTAATTGTGAAGATCACTGGAAACCAGGAAGTAAACAGGCACTTCAATACTGTACATAAAGGGATCACTGTCTCCTTCTAATTAGTTTGAGTACTTCTAGACCAGGAAAAGTCATGGAATGAAGGAGAGAAAAACAAATCAAATCAAGATTATTAATAGGAAATTTTCTCATCAATGCAGAGTTGAGTGCAGGGCCTGTAAGTTGTACAATCAGAGCTGCTGGCTCGGATTAGACAGAGCACCTAGATGCGGTAGAAGCAGCTAAAGAAAGAGCTGGAAATGTGTTCTATAAGGAAAAAAAGTTCAGGAGTAGAGGATGGGTAAGTAAATCAGGAGGCTCAAAATTGTAGCACTCAACAATCCAGAAAGCTGGGTAAAAGGGTGGGGGGGGGGGGGGGGGGGGAAGGAGTGGAGGTTGGAGAGAGGTCGGGGAGCAAGGACAGAGGGTCCTGCATAAGGGAAGTCATCTGTAGAGGCTCTTGACAGGTAAAATGTGAGAAGATACATGGCTCGGAGATCTGTTTTTACAAACAGCCTCTCTTTATTCCTGTCTTTTTTGTCTCCCTTTTCTCCTGGTGTAGAAAAGCAAGGGAACAGTTTTTCACACTAGTGTAGGAAGGAGGAAGGACTTACCTTAGATAAAGTGACAATCTTTTTACCTCCTGCTTTTGGGGTGGAAGAGAACATCTAATGTTTCTCTATAGGATAGGGCATAGAGAACACAATATATCTCCTAAATCCCCCATTATGAAAACCAACAATTGAAAATGGTAGCATAATAATGGAGGATTATTAAGGTTGCCACATTGGTTTAACCAAAAATACCGAAAACCCACTGGGGGAAAATTTTTTTTTTTTTAAACAAATAAAACCCTGAGCATTATTAATCAAAAAAATAAAAAATAAAAAACCCAGCATGGCCCCTTTAAGAACAGGTGCCCGGTATTTTCTGGATTATTTTAATACCGGACACCTCACAACCCTAAGGATCATGCTTAGACTATCTACAACTCTCAAATAAATTGTCCTCATGGACTTCTTAATATCATAAACGTAGTTGACAGAATGGTACCTGCTTTTCTCAGCAGAGAAGAAAAATCCTACCATGAGAATTGATGTACATGGTAATTACTTGAAAACAAACTCTTACCCATTAAGAACAAATAGGAGTCCCCCACCAAAGAAATTATTTAACAGTTTATAGTATTTTAAATAAGCATGATAGGAGGAGAGTAATCAATCCAGCACATGTAAAACACCCAACACAAAATACAAAAAAATCCAGTGTTCCATTTGGAACTATTTTTTGAAGACAAGTTGACAAACTCAAAGCTTTAAACAAATGGAAGCCAACACAAGTTACAGAAAATATTATGAATGGTAGAGCAACAGAGAATTACAGAAGATCGCCAGTAGAATATCACTGTTCAGTCACCCCGTAATTTGCCCCACACCCCCACAATACTAGGGACAGGAGGGAGAGCAGAAGTCTCCATGTGCTGCTCCTGCCTGAAAGTACTGCCCCTCCCCCAGTTCCCATTAGGGATGTTAAAAAGCATTTTTTTGTAAATGTAACCACTGAAGTTTTCAGCAGTTACAGGTTTACATGCAGAGCCACCTGTCCTCTCACAGCAGTGCAGGGAGAGGGGGAAAGAGAAAGATGGGAGCGGATGCAAAATCTGATTCCCCACAAGCACTGGCTCCTGCCTCTCCCCCCGCCTCCCTTCTGTATCAGAGGCAATAGCACAGGGGGTGGGAGGTGGAGGGTGGACGGGAAGCTCCCTGGGAGCTGGTGCTAGTGAGGAACTTGATTAAAAGCTGGCTCCCCGTGACCACCAGCTCCTGCCTGCTCTTCCCAACCCACTGATGCCTCTGATACAGTGTGTGTGTGTGTGTGTGTGTACGGAGGGCAGGGGCGGGGGCTTGCGTGTAAACATGAAGATTAACAATTTAAACATGTATAACTAATACATCCCTAGCTCCCATTGGCCGGAAACAGGTCACTGCGTCCAGTGGGAATTGTGGGGTTAGTACTCACTGAGGGGCCAGTATACAGAGCCACATGCCACCCTAGAAGCCACAGGGGCATGTTGGTCCCTTCTGGAAGAGATGTGGGTCGGGGGCCACCCAAAGTAAGTGTAATACCCTCCTGCATCCCATGTCCCTTTCCTGAGCCCCCTCCCAGAGCCAGCACCCTGTATCCCCTGCACTAGCCCTGACCAGTGTTCCCTCTAAGGTGCATGCCTGCACAGGCGTGCACCAAGATTTTAAGGCCCACCCACCTCCTCAGCAGAGCAGTGGCTGCTCAGCTGTTCCAGGGCAAGGCCACGCGACAGGCAGCGACTCCGACCCAGGAGCAGCTCGGCAGCCACCATGTGGCACTGGCCCTAGCTTGAGCTATGGGCTGCATAGTTGGAGGTGGCTTCTCCTGTGGCACTGGCCAGAGCCAGAGGTGCATGGTGGGCAGCAACTGTTCCTCCAGTGGTCCAGGCCAGGACCAGAGCCAGAGCTGTGTGGTGGATGGCTGCTCCGGCAGCTGGTGCCCAGGCCTGACCTGTGGTGTTAGCCCTGCATTAAATAAACTGGTGACCTTCACCCAGGCCTTTCCATCACCAGACTTATGGCGACAGTCGCCCTTCTCGGGGACAGATCTCAGCAGAGAAGACGATACAGCTGTTGCCAGACCACAGCTGCGGCATGTTAGCAGCAGTGCCTTGGTGAAGCTATACTGGTAAGTATATTCAATAGATACGCGGGAGCAATTGGGGGTGCAACAGACTAACAGAATGTAACTAATGCATGAATCAGTGTAGACACACCCTCCTCTCAAAATATATACTTTTTATATCTAATCTCTCATATATTTGCATATATTAGGTAGCAATAAATGAAACCTACATGTGTACCAGGAGCAAAAATATACATAAACCTGTCCTTGTCACATATCTGCATATGCATATAAAAACCCTACACGTCTACTTGATTGAAATGCATCGGATTGCACACATATAGATACTCAGCAATCTCGTTGACTGTAGTCTGGAGGGTTGATCCATTTAGATCCATGTTTCTAAAGAATGGTTTGGCTGGAAGTGTTAGGGTGCTGCACACAGACTTCTTAAAGGTCTTGGTACATGTCTGGATTATCCCCCTACCTACCTCCAAAAAAAACCAACAACTTGCCACTTGCTAGATCAGGTAGGTTATTTAAACTAGTACTTGCATGCCCTGGAAATATATGTGAATGTTAAGAAATGAGCATTAGCTGTAATTGAGACTGTTCAAAAATGTCAGCTCCTCTTACCTTTGTTCATAAATAGGGCGGGGAGCATTAAGTGATGGGTTTTACTGTAACCGGAGAATGAATAGTTATTGGATGTACTTCTTTTCTTCTTTAATTATGGACAGCAGCTGTAAAGCTAGGTAGACTGGGTCTTTTATGTAAGGGTCCTGTCATTTAGAGCTGTGTTTCTCAATCAGCGGTACGAGTAGCCCTCGGGGCACTCGAGAGACGTCTGGAGATATGTCAACAACTGAAATTTGCAGAAAACTTAATTTATGTTTTAAGTTTTACAGTGCTTTATTTTTACACCCAAAAATTTCATCGCCTGCCTGGCTACAATTAAGTTGTTTAAACAAATGTGTTATAATGGTAGAAAAAAATTGTGTGTCTGAAAACTAGGTACTGGGAGTACTCAATTTTTTTTTGAAGGGGTACTTTATAAAAAAAAGGTTGAGAAACACTGATTTTTTGAGAGAGAGAGAGAGTGTGTTTGTTTCAAATTGTAGACCGGTATTTGTGAGTGGCTGAGAGAATGTGAAGTTTGTGTATTTTGAGGTGTATTCTTCTGTACGTGTGTTGTGAATTAGGGGGTGTGTTAAGGTG